TTTATTTATGATATAATATTAATAATACAAGACTATTTATTAGTGTCTGTGCTAAGAGAATTCCAATATTAAGAAGATTGTAGAGGACAAACCTAACTTTAACAGAAGGGGAAAAGGCAGAGTTTTTATATCTTTTTCCTAAACATCCTCAAACATAGTTAAATATCTTCAAATGTTCTCAAACGTTATCAAATATTATCAAACATTAACAAATATCATCAAATGTCTTCAAGTATAGTTAAACATAGTTAAGTGTCAATAAGGATTTCTAAACACTAATAACTCTATAACTACTAATCTAATTCCTACAAATTATAGCTTGTTATAATCATGAGACTATTCTGATTCTAATAATGCTAGTTAAAGATATTTCTAACTTATAAGATAATTTATAAAATACAAATAAAAAATAACTAATCATATTATATACTCTTTCTGATGATTACTAGAACCGAAATAAAGCAAACAGAAAAATACTACAAGAAATAATCTCAACTATCTAGCAAGGAAAAAATATTGAACAGCATGAGAAATAACGTTCTGAACTAGGCAGAGTATAGTCTTTGAACTATTACCGCTAGTTTTGTAAGAGGCCTATTAAAGCTATGCTACTGACCTTAGCAGGTCTTAGTTTTTTCTTAGCCTACTAGATAACTTGTAGAGATATTGCGAATAAACTCACTAAACTACTTGAACTAGGTCAAGTAGCAATACACTCCCTCTTCTGGCTTATGATTTTTGGTTCTACCTGGATAAACTCTTTATACCAAAGTTTTACGGCTTTTCCTTTTTTCTCTTTTTTCTATTTTTCTTTTTTGAAAAATAGGGAATTGGGTTTCTCCCTGTAAATGATGATCTTTGTTTATCCTTACTATTTTTGGATTATCACGGAGAAAGTAACTACATGACAAATTGGTCTGTTTAGATCTTTGTTATACTACATATAAGTAACCACATGCATCCAGTCTCTGGAAAATATAGCTAAAGTACAGAACAGATTAATCGAAAGATGGAGCTCAGTTAGAAATTATATGAGATATGCTTATATTGCTATAACATAATATTTTTGTTCCTAGTCCAGGCTAAAAGGCAACTCTTTTATTTTTCTTTTTTACTTCTTTTTATCTTCTTTTTTATTACTTCTATGTTAGTATTTTTTCTTGTAACAGGTTTTTATTTATGTAGATGATAGTTATAGATTGTTGCTACTTAAATCTATGCAATTTTTATTTTTAGTTCTTATTGTTATAGTTAGGTTTCTTTTTATTTTTTCTTTAAAATAGACTTTTAGAAGGGATAATTAGAAACTTGCTATTGCAGTCAGGATGGGTTGTGAGTTCCACACTATTGATCTTTACTATCAAAGCATTAAAATATATAAGAGAGTAAAGGGAGAAGAATACTCATTATAGCAGGTTGTTCATAGGTCCGTATGAAAACTAGGGAAGCTATACTTTAGAAAACTGAAAATACTACCGTATAGAGGGCTTATGTTTAGTCCTTAGTTGGTTTTTGTTTTACAAAAATTTTAAATAAAGTTATAGTCTGACTACTGAATTCAAAAAAAAAAAAATAAAGAATAACTAATTAATAAATATAAAATAAAGATAAAATTACTAAAACTCATTTGATAACAATACTTGTAACTTGCTTGTAGGCTACCTATTTAAACACTCTGATCATTAACTCATTTCTAATTTTTAATTAAGTTCATTACTATATCAGATCACTTAAGCTAGCTGACTTGCCTATAGATCTTTCTATGATATGACTTAAGTTCTCTTAAAATATATATTGTCTAATATATTGTAGACATATAGAGCTCAAGTTAACTTCAGAAGTAATTCCTACTAGAATAGTTATATGTCTATTTCACAGATTCATCTAGCTTAGACCTTTTTGATGTTTATATAATATCAGGTTTCACTGTAATCCTCAACTAGTTAGTTGACCTAGTTCTTTTTCAGTATCTAGCTAGTCCCAGTTACTCTTTGCCTAATAATCTCAAAACCTTCTATTTTTATTAGACAGAGTTTTCTTTTCAAATCAAACTTTAACTAATATAGTTCTGTAAGAAAGCTGTACTACTTTACTTACTCAAGATTTTTACTATGCAGATCCTCTACTCATATATCTTATTAAGATTTTTTCATGTAATATTACACATATCACACTTCTAATTTCAGATCAATTTGATGCAACTCAATTTATAGATGTATACTCCAAGAATGAACAGAGTTTACCATAACATATTACAAGGTCTGAGTAATTATTCAAATTCATCAACAGTAAGATTTGAACTCCAGACCTATTGTATAGCAGTCTGACAACCTAACTACTATACTAGATCACTGAACCTTATTTTAAAAATATTTTATTTAATTAATTTATATAAAATTTAACTAAAAAAAATCAATTTTAACTATTAAATTTTATAAACTAAAAAAAAAAAAAAAATTAAAAACTAGCTTCTGAAGCAATATCTAAGTCTTAAAAGCTAAGATAAAAAAAAAAAATTAAGAACTAGCTTCTAGAGCAATACTTAGATCTATAAGCTAGATAAAATTAAAAATCAAGAACTAAAATAAAAAAAATTAAAAACTAGCTTCCAGAGCAATGCCTGGGTTTATAAACTAGATAAAATTAAAAAAAAAAAATAAAAAATAAACAAATTAAAAGCTAAGATAAAGAAAAAAATTAGAAACTAGCTTCTAGAGCAACACTCAGATCTATGAGCTAGATAAAATTAAAAAACTATAAACAAATAAACAGATTAAAAGCTAAGATAAAAAAAAAATTAGGAACTAGCTCCCGGAGCAACGCCCGGGTCTATGAGCTAGTAATTATATAATTTTGGGTTGCCATTATAATTTTTTTAAAACAGGTATCTAAATAATCAAACAAAAATAAGCTTTAATAATGATTTTTTTTTAAAAAAATTTTTCTTGAAAAAAAAAGCCGTGCGACCGCGTTACGGATTAATATTCCGTGATATGAAAACCAATTGTGCGGTCTTATTTACTCGATTATTAAGATATTCGAAAGGATTTTTATTTTAACAACTGATCGATTGGGAAAATACATTTACGCTGCAAGAGCACAGATACACATACATACGATGCCATCAGGTTTTTATTTACGAACAATTTTTATTATTATATATATTTCTTTAATTAATAAACAGTAAAGATGTATTATCATGATTTGACTTCCTCGATTATCTCTGATAGCAACCTACAAGAAGGAATATCTATGAATTTATGCGTGGTCAAATTATAAAGATATTGTTATCTAGGTAATTATGTTTCAAATATTTGAAGTTTTTATTATTATTAGTTAAAAAAATTTATATAGACCCTTCCTGTAAGTGTGACATATCCCTGATCGGAGTCAACCTGACACAACTTAAAAATATAAATTTCGTATTACAGTCAATTTTGAAATTACTTATTTTATTGTTTCATTTTTGAGCAACATTTTAAAAAATAATATTTAAATTAGTGATACGAGCTAGTAAAAAATCCCAGAATGTGGTCGGTCTCAAAGGAACTGTGCAAGCCAGCCTATTAGTGATATTTTTTTTATCAAATAAGCGTTTAGAATCGATTATTATGTTAATTTTAAGGGGAATTTACAAATAAGGGTCCAAAAATGTAAAATAATTACATATAGGGGCCCTATTTCAATAAATTTTAACAGTTTTTACTAATATCTCATGATACCGTAAACGAAATTTAACGATTTTGATACCATTCGAATCGTCTTATTGAGACGCATTGAATGGTACCAAATTCGCCAAAACTTTAATTACTGGATTATGAGTTATTTAACATTTTCTAAAGTCTATTTAAGCCGTAATATCTTGTTGTTCCGACATTAAAATTTAGCGATTTTAGTACCATTCGATCCGTCTCGACGAGACGATTCGAATGGTATCAAAATCGCTAAATTTCGTTTACTGTATCGTGAGATATAGTAAAATTTTCTAAAATGGGGCCCCTATATGTAATTATTTTACATTTTTGGGCCCTTATTTGTAAATTCCCCTAAAAACAAATACACGAAATTTGGATTACATTTATAACAAAAAGTTAAACAAAATTTGAATAGTTTATAATTGTATAAAACTTAACTAATTCAGTAATAACTTTATCGATATAAAAAATTTTTAAATTGTTATAGACTGGGCAAAGACTTTACCAAAACGAAGGTTTTTTTTAGATTGTCATAGACTGGGCAAAGACTTTACCAATATGAAAGTTTTTTTAATTGTTATAAAACTGGGCGAAAATTTTATCAATATGAAAGTTTTTTTTAAATTGTCATAGACTAGACTAAGACTTAATTAATATGAAGGTTTTTTTAATTTGTTATAGACTGAGCAAAAACTTTATCAATATGAAGGTTTTTTTTAAATTGTTATAACTGAGCAAAGGCTTTATCAATATGAAGAATTTTTAATTTGTCATAAACTGGACGAAAACTTTACCTATATGAAGAATTTTTCAAATTGTTATAGACTGGGCAAAGACATTACTAATACAAAAGTTTTTTAAATCGTTGTAGACTAAGCGAAGACTTTATTATATGAAAGTTTTTAAATAGTAATAAACTGAGTGAAAACTTTACTAATATAAAAGTTTTTTAAATTATCATAGCATTACATTAACATTAGCATTTAATAATTTAACAAATTATAATATAATTATGTATAATTAATAAGGAAAAGTAAGATTAAAATGAAAATGAATCTCATTAGAATTATTGCTATTTTGATTTTCCTGAAGCGGTGCTATATGATAATAGATTTTTTTTGTATTAATATTTTGATTAGTCTGAAGAGGCATTCTATGATTATTTGCATATCTGTTTAGAGAATGTAGAAGTTTCATCATATTATTAATAGTTAGTGGTTTAAATAAGCTATATGCTACACGTTTAGTCTTATATAATTAACTTTTTTGATTATTATTTTGATTTATTCTTTGTTTTTTAACAGGTCATAGAATTTGAAATAACCTCTCAGAACCATTAGTATTATCAGATAGCATATAATTAAATTGATCTTTACCAAATGATAATGCAATATTATCTAAATTATAAATAAAAGTAAATAAAATTTTAATAATGAAAGTTTTTAAAAAATATAAATAATTTACCAGAATTATTAGATTGATAAGAAATATCATTATTAAAAGCATAATAAAATTCATCTAAATCTTCATTTTTATCACTATATGGAATTAATAAGGCAGTATTCAATAACTTTTGATCTTTATTCAATTTTTGATAAGATCGAATACATTCATGTTAGGTACATTGTTATTTTTTAAAAAATTAAATTGCAGTTTGTTAACATGAATGATGGGTAATATTTTGCTCATTATCAATATTAATTCCTGTATTTGTTGCAATTTCTTTCATCATATGCTTTAACTTTTCTTCTCTCATAGAACTATTTTTATACTATGTATTCTTTTTAAGATTTATATTAATATTATAAAAATATATATATCAATTGATTATAAAGTTTTATTTAAAAAAATTATTATACCTTTGGTAGAACGTATAGTTTCTAAAAATAAATCTAAATATGTATCTTTAAGTTATATTAAGATATATTGAATTATATCAGCACATGATAAATATTTATTGTTAGTGGTATTAGAAGCTTTCTACTGTCTGTATGTCTATATTTAGGCTAAACCAAATTAACTCTTCATTTAACATAGCCCTTTCTAATATATATTAAAAGTACTAACATTTATTACATAATTATAGTTCTTTTTCAGACCCAGATATATGTATCTCTTGCATATTTTATGCATCCTTGCATAATTATATATTTTTATATATAAACATGCATAATTATGCAAGAGGTGCATAAATATGCAAGTACATAAAATATGCAATATTTATAATTGATTACTTAAGAACTTATAATTGTTAAAATATATAATTCAGGTAATTGGTTTTAAGAAGTTTCTAAATACTTGGGTCTGAGAAAGAAGCTATATTTATGTAATAAGTGTTAGTACCCTAATAGTAATTAATAGTATTTGCCTCTCTTAATTTTTTAAATTTTATATAACCAATACATATTAAATCAACTAACCAATAAAATTGTAGTATTAGTATTCATGTGTTTTTTTTAGCCTTCCTCCCATCATCCTTAGACTATTAATTTTATGTCAAGCAAAAAATTAAATTGGTGTGGCCTTATTACAATAAAAAGCACTGCCATGATTGTTTTTTTCTTTATGAATACAGAATTGTAAACCACCATCTTTACGCTTTTCAATATCAGATACTTTAAGTCTACGAGTATCTCCACCACGTAAACCACACAATTAGGGTTGTGGGCACGGAAAAATTTTTGGGCATGCCTTGCCCAAAGGCATGCCCCTCATATCGTACCCAGGGCATGCCTTCTATATATAAATCATGTGATACACCTGAATTAGCGAAATACCTAATTTTGCCATATTCTAACACTAACCCTAACTATAGTGCTGGCCATGCTGTGTTGATAAGCTGTGTTGGTAGTTATTTCAGTATAATTTTTACTTATAAAATAACCACTACAATGTATATTTATTTTATTAAAGAAATATATAACAAATATATTTATTTATTTATTATAAACCAATTTATAAAATTACAATATCGTCTTAATAAATACATTCATTTACAAATAGATGCATTATATAAATGTGCTAAGGTTTACTTATTAATCAGTATTTCAGATTTATGTATCAATACTGTAGCCAATTAGCATATCACATTACTACGTAATTAAATATTAATTATTATATGAAAGAGGTATGCCTTTTGGCCTAAGGACATGCCTCTAGGCATACCTAGGGGGGGCATGCCCAAAGGCATGTCTCGTGCCCCGTGCCCACAACCCTAACACCTATACCCTGTACTATATTTGCAATACCTGACTTGTACTATACTAGCTACAAGCTATACTAGCTACACAGACCTAGGACATACAAGTTATACAAGTTACACAAGCTACCTATTGTTATATAATACAAAATATACCTTTCTGAGAAGCTCTTTCTGACCTTATCCTATCTAAACATATATCTATAATTCAATATAATCAATATGTCTACTTTAATCAGTAAAATCTCAAATACTTTTATCCTAGACTACTTTTATAAAAAGTGTTCTGACACTTTTAGAGTATCCTTTTATGAAGAAGACCCAAAAAACATTACACTAATTTTATCTAAAAGCAAACCAGTCATCTGCTTTACCAAAACTCTCAGAAGTAATATCAAAACTATACATTTTCTCTTTGCACCTAAAACCTTAGCTATTACCAAATATCTCTGTAGTAACTACTATACTAGCTTTATCTCTGCAAATAACACCAAATATAATACTACAATCTTTAGCTTTATTACTTTTCCTGCAAACTGCAACAACAAAAAAACTAAAGTTTTTCTTCAGAATTTGAAAAGAATTAATGAAAGCATTCCACCTTCTCCTACACCAACTTATTGCTAACATATCTGTTCAAAATGCTAGCTTCTAATTAGATACAAGCTTTCTAGCAACAATCATAAACTAACTAATGATACTACATTTTATGAAAATAATGCTTATCATTATGCTTGCTTTTCTAATAATACTACAAACCCCTCCTCCACTACTAACTTCAGCTCTACTTCATCTGCAACTCACAATTTCTCCTCTACTAGAAAGGACCTAACCTTTACCTTCCAAAAACAACAACAACTCCAAAATCCACACTCTCTTTTTCTAACTCCTTTAACTCTAATAACTAATACTAATATCTGCAACAACCTAATACTACTTTCACTGTAGAAAAAATCTTATCTGACATAGATGTTAACTCCTCTTCCTCTTTAAAAGATAACTAAACTAAAAATCAAACCCTATTAACAAACCCAGATAGTATAGAACTAGATTTACCAAAAACACTAATTTCAAAAGAGAAAAATACTAACATTACACCTATTCAATACATTTCTAACAAAACTTCTTCCTACTCAAATATTTTAACTAAGGACTTATCAAAACCTTATACTAGAACCAACAAACTTAAACCAAACCTAGTATACGACTAGCTTGCTAACTTTCCAATTACAGAAGAAATGAAACCAAATACTAAACTTCAAACTAAGCTTTCATTTCAACTATTTAACTTTCTTAAAGAAAATCTTTCTAACTTTACTTCAGAACAAACATTATTTAAATACTTTATACACACAATGGCTGGCCAAAAATCTGAGTTCCTAACAGAATTCATCTACTAAGCAAATTCAGATATTAATCTAAATGCAACAATTCACTTTGACCTTATCGAATCTACTCTAAAAGACTTATTACTAAAATTCATAACTATTCTATTCACTAAAATGAACTACAGAGACATTTTTGCATTTCCAATCACTATTCCACTACACAAAATTCAAAACTATCTTCAAATCTGTTTAAATATAGCATGACTTTATTTGTATTTAACTAACAACTTCCAGTCTATTAATTATACTAAATTTAGTGAAGACTTTAAACTGAGGCCCAAAAGGTTTAAAATCGACTCTACAATCGATTGCACTGACCAAAAAAAAGAATATTTCACTATCTCTTCTGATCTAAGATTTAATATTAAAATACTATTTAATCTTCCTAAAACACTTTTTTTTGACAACTTCAATATTCTATCCTTAAAAAACTCAGTAGATAATCTTAACAAGTAGTTTGAGAAAATCTTTTCTGCCTATTTATACCAATTTGACAAAGCTATCAATAAACAAAAAATATTTACTTATCTTAAATATCAAATTAGACAACATTTCATCCTTCATTTAGCCAAACTCCTTCCAAAATATATCAAATGAAAAAACCAAATACTCAATAAGAACACCAAATAGAAGTAACTCGTTTCTCTAACCACTATATCCTTACAAGCATAAATGAAAAATGCAAATATCTGAAATTAACTAATGAGTTGGATAAACCAAATATTGAACACAAGAAAAAAACAGAAACAAAACAAACCAAACAATATGATACTGATCAACTATTTAAAGCAGTCATGAAATACTCAGAAGTTGCTTACCCACCTGACAAAAGTGAACAGTAGAAATCTCTACCTCTAGATTTCTAAAATACCTACTAAACTTCTTGATAATCTAGCTGACTAGGCAGAGAAATATATCTGCAAAGCTAATAATATTAAAACAAATACTAAATATAAAAACTACTACTTTTATCAATATCTAACAGCTTATCATAATTAGACTGCATAAAACTATAAATAAATCTCCTCAACAAAGAAGAAGATATCAAATTTCTAACTGAACAACTAGTTGATACTCACTTCCTAGTATGAATAATTACATATTACAACATCATACTTAATAATATCCCAACTTACAAAACAATAACTGAATTTTATAAAACAATAGCTGTACTAAAAGCTGAGAACATTTTAAAAGAAAAATTCAATATCAATTTCAAACTAGTTGAAATAGTAGATTTATTATTTTTAGAAATTACACAAACTACTCTTTTTCAGTAAGCTTATTTTTTACAAATTCATTAATTTCTTCTAGTCTTGTAGAAGATATCTGTATTGCAGCATTATTACTAATATAACTGAAACAACAAAGACTACTAACATGCTATAACAAATTTCTAATATACTTTAATTTTCCTCTTTTAAATAATAATCAAACTATTAAGTCCTTTCTTACTT